CTCTATGCCCCTGGAGAGGGCTGTTGTTCAAGAAACATAGCCGCTTACCATTTTCTTTGGGCTCAGCCTTGTATTCCCAGGTCTCCTTCCAGTCCCACCTGAAGAAAAGTCCATGAACAACCTCCCAACCCCCCCCACACACACACACACTACAGTCCCAGTTCTTTGCTGTAACTATGCCAGACCCAAAACGCACGCCTATCTCAAGAAGACTAAGAAACGGGTTACTGCGCCAAATATGAGTGACTGGCTTGGAAATATGGATTTAGGTTCCCACCAAATATATGTCCATGCACAACAGCTCTCATCTCAAAGGCAACACGAGTTTATTGTTCAACTGTAGTGATACTGGTTAAAAACACGGATTCAGGTTGCCTCAAGCTACCCTGTTTTGTTCCTCTTCATAGCATATCAACACAAAACAATTTTAAAGGTTTATATGGAAATGATGAAACAAAATCAAAGGTTTAGCAATTTTAAGTGTGTAAGGTTTGCGCGCCCCTCTCCTCCCATCCTTTGACCACCATTCCAGCCTTCCAGCCCCCTCCCTGCAAAATGCTCCCATTTCAGCGGGAAAGACTCTCTGAGTTACAAACCAGCCTGGTCTATGGAGCTAGTTCAGGACAGGGAGGAGCTACACAAAGAAATACTTTCTCAAAAAACCAACCAAACAAACAAAAAACCAAATCAAACAACAACAAAAATAAGCCCTCCGGACACTTTATCTGCTTTTGCGTTTTGCAAATCCTTTTAAAAGTCATTGTGCACTAAAAATTATGACTTATCCATATTCTTTCCAAGATGTCTATCATGAATGGACTTTGGATTTTGTCAAAGGCTTTTTTTGGTATCAATTCAGATGATCATGTTATTTCTGTCTTTGGGACCATTTATATCAGATATGACATTTATCCATTTGTGTGTTCGGAACCATCTCAGCATCTCCGAAATAAAACCAACTTGTTCATAGTGAATGATGTGTTTTTTTTGGGGGGGGGGTAGTTTATGTTTGTATGACTTTTGGCGATTTCATATTTGTATATAATGTGCTGATTATGTGCACCATCCATGATCTACTGTTGTCCCCATCCCCCACCTACTGCCTCATTTTTTCTTCACAAGTCCTCCTCCTTTTATGCTGGTTTTTTTTAATTTATTTATTTATTTTTTTGCAGGACTTACAAAGGTGGTCACAGCACTTATCCTTCTCTTTGGTCCATAGTATTCCTTCGCGTATCTTCTATAGGACTAACTGCTGATTATATGATTAAAACAGCAAAGGGAGGCTCATCCTAAGCTGGCAGCCAAACTTGGCGGTTTCCTCCTCATGTACTCTGTCTGGCTTTGGAGACATGAAGAGTCTAGCACTGACGGGGGTTGTTGATTCTTCCTCTAGAGAGCCATTCAGTCAAGGCAAAGTGTGGCAGAGTTCAGAGTCCCTGCAAGGGGCACCGAGAGATCACTGCATGAAGGAGGTAAGACTGGGTCGTGGTGGAGACTCCAAAATATTGGACATGCCAGAGCACTGAGACGTCTGCCAAGAAGAACTGCACACAGGAAATGCAGCCAGCCCAAGACAGAAATATTATGTTGAAAGCAACAAGCGAGAGAGGTAGAGTCATACAAATCCTTTAAGACTAAAGTCCCAGCCGGGCGGTGGTAGCGCACGCCTTTAATCCCAGCACTCGGGAGGCAGAGGCAGGAGGATCTCTGTGAGTTCGAGACCAGCCTGGTCTACAAGAGCTAGTTCCAGGACAGGCTCCAAAACCACAGAGAAACCCTGTCTCGAAAAACCAAAAAAAANGGGAGGCAGAGGCAGGAGGATCTCTGTGAGTTCGAGACCAGCCTGGTCTACAAGAGCTAGTTCCAGGACAGGCTCCAAAACCACAGAGAAACCCTGCCAAAAAAAAAAAAAAAAAAAAAAAAAAAAAAAAAAAAGACTAAAGTCCCAGATACTGTACATGCAGAACTCAAGGATTTTGGGTCTGCCCTAATTGTTTCAGTATGTCCTCACCACGCCACTATTCCTCACTTCAGGAAGGGAATGTACGTTCTGTTTCATTATGGGTTGAAAGTCTGTGACTTGGTTTGTTTTTCTTTTTTACCTACAGGGTGGTCACACATAAGAGACTGCCTTAAGTCTCCAAAGAAACTGGATTTTGAGTAGTTTGGATGCTAAAGACTATGGGGTCTTTTGAAGTTAAGATGCATTTTGTAACATCTTGAGACTGCCAAATGCCTACAAGATCTAGGAGCCAAATGTGCTAGCCTGAATGGGAAATTACCATGGGTTTCATGTATTTGAACACTTGGTCCATAGTTCGTGGTTCAGTTGGGGTGTTCCAGGCACAGGAAATGAAACACCATGTTCTCTCACATGTGGGTCGTAGCTTCAAATCTTCTGCTACATGTATTTAATTTGGAGTACAAGTGGAGGCCAGAAATCTACCAATGGGCCATTGTAGGATTAGAAAGCTCTTCCTAAGGATCATAGGTGTTTTAGGCAGAGAATCACAGCTTCGCAGAGTTAAGCAAATGCAGCATAAACAAAAGCAACAAATCTTTACATCATTAAACAAATGTTCCACTGCATAAACAAAGTAAAACACCTTAAAATAATATGCTACAACATACAGGCCTAGAATATATGACAGACTTTTTTTGTGAAGCAGGAATTTTGAAGGACTGTCCTATCGTGTTTTGGCAAAGTTCAGCAACTGCCTTCTGATGGAGGAAGGTCATTGGCTAATAAAGAAACTGGCTTGGCCCATTTTATTGGTTAGAACTAGGTGGATGGAGTAAACAGAAGAGAATGCTGGGAGGAAGAGGAAGTGAGGTCAGAAGTAATGCAGCTCCTCTCAGAGCCAGACGCCTCAGACAGAGAGGCATGCTCTGCTCTCCCTGGCAGACGCATGAAGCTCAGACCCAGGATGGACGTAGGCTAGAATCTTCCCGGTAAGTGCACCTTGGGGTGCTTACACACATTATTAGAAATGGGCTAAATTAATATGTGAGAATTAGCCTAGAAGAGGCTAGATAAAAATGGGCCAAGCAGTGTTTAAATGAATACAGTTTGTGTGTTGTTATTTCGGGCATAAGCTAGCCAGGCGGCCGGGGTGCTTGGGACACAGCCCTACTGCTCCTATTTCAACAGCCTTCTTTTGTGTCCTGCTTGTTCAAGTTGGACAGCATTTTGTCAGTAGTCGAGGCAAGGGCAGCTTTTTTGCCAGTGGATAACCCTGCCACAAATGAAAGCAAACATCATATGGTGGTTTTTTGATGCCCATCTCCTCTTTTGAAGTAAATTGGTGCTGCCAGGAGCAGATGTGTCTCACTATCATGAAAAGCTTTATGTTATGAAAGTATCTTAAATGACATATTCTGTAGGCCTCTGAAGTGTTTGAAGATTATCTATCTAAAATATATCTTTGTTTGACATTGAAAACATACCTACATGACTTACAAGTTGGATTGTTATAGATCCAATCCTAAGTTGCATTTTTTAATTATCCCAAATACTTTATAATACAGTTTTCAAGGACTAGAACTTTACATTTTTAAGTGGGCTGCCTAAATACAATACCTTACAGTAGGAAAATAACCTTAAATTTGTATCAAGACACAAAAATACATTAAACAGAAGTAGAACAAACTCAGATTTGTGCAGAGACATGTCACTAATTTATAGGAAAAATGCAATGGGACTTAACTTCACACAACATATAACAAGGAACATCACAAAGATGTTTGTAAATCATGTACCATAACATACACTCTACTGCAAACACTTCAAAAGGTAGGCATACCTGCTATAGGACTCATTTTCAAAAGGGATTTATTCATATCAAATTTTTTCTCACATGAAAGCACAACACAGAGAAAATAATTGTTTCAATTAGTATAATAGCTTTATTATCAATACTAAGAGGTTAGGAGTTTACAGAAATGAAAACCACTACACTGCTTATTCTGTATTTTTGGAACCTGGACTATCTCTCCACCTTTTCTGGGCTCACCTGCAATTGGGTTCTTCAAAATAAAGTACTAGCAATTTGGGCTATAATTTTGGTAGTGACAGTTCAATGACATTAGCTTGAACTGGGATATGCTAATCTAGCTTACATCCTTGTCAGAAGGAAAATGGCAACCTGTATGCACTAGTTTCTGTGTGTTTCAACATCCCTTGCTCCTGGACAACATTGCTAGAGTTAGTCTACCACTAAGGTCTTTTTATTTGAGGCATTCTATTTTCCATCAGAAAGAACTGTGGCTTTAAAAGCATCCATTCATCCATGCAGCAAACTGTTAAAAGGACTTTCCCCCACAAACCACTATGTAAAATGTTAGCACTTGAAACAGTGATCTCTGTTATTAACTGGAATGGCTTCAACTCTGTGTCAGACAGTCCTAATGATAAACAAGTAACAGGTATTGTTGAAATTAATACAAAGTCCCAGAAAGAAGTGGTGTAGAGGACTAAACAGCTCAGTGACACCATACCTGGGTCAGCTTTTTGCACTGTGTGCATTGCCATCGTTGGGTCACTGCCCTTCCAGACCACAGACTATGTGCCAATATCATATACAGGTCTAAGTAAACGCATCCAGCAGGTATAATATCTTTTCGTGTCTTTTGATGTCATCTCATGTTATAACAATTTCATCACTGAGATCTATTCCAGTATTACACAGCATTCCCTAACTTCAAAAACTTGTCAGAATGGAGCAGCCATGACTAGCTTTGACTAATCTCAATTTATTTCCCAAAACATCTTTAGGCGGAGGAAAAAGATACAAAACTCAGCTCAGCAAAGAAGTGACCAGAGCATCTCTTAAAACTACTGATCAGTGGGTTTCTAGGAGGTTTTGGAAATAGCACAAAGGAGGTGGAGTCACTATGAAGGAGTCTATAGTTCTAAATACAGTATATATTACTGAATTACACAGAAGTATGGTTACATGTAGCCATGCCTAAACAGATACACAATGAAATACCAAGGGTAAAAAAATGAGCATTTTATTATACACTACCATATTTCATTTTTAGAGTGCAGTATAAACATTTACAACTCATGTTAAGTCATGTAAATACCATTTTTATTAACAGCATTTATATGGTTGACATAAAGGTAGCTAAGAAAAACCCTCAGAAATATACTGCTTGATTTTTTTTTCACCAAATGGGTAGTTTGGTAATAATAATCACACCTACTCGTGGTCAAAAATAGTGAAAAGTATGTGACAATGTTTTGTGTGTGCGTGAAACAATGTCATTTGAAACATACTGGCCAACCTAACAAGAGAATGGTAGTATTTAGAACTAGACAATTCTGAGGTAACTAAAGGGCTCAATAAACCATCTTTTGGCTTCTTTACCATAGAGGCAGTTTGGTAATGATGGCTATAGCCATTTTTATTTATTTATTTTAGGAACTAGAAAGAAGGATGGGCGATTTATACTCTAAGTCTGCCATATAGCTTACATGCACACAGCTTCTCTGAGGAAATCCATACCCTGACACATGCCTTGTCGGTTTCGAAGGCCAAGCTACCAACACGAGAGTAGGGATGGATGTGGTGGAGTCTGGAGATACAGCAGCAGTAGCCGCACTCTGCAGCACTCTCCACATGGAGACCAATGGCACGCAGCAAAGGTACCAGGGAAAGACAGCAAACCATTAGGGATGACGAGGGCTGTTTATTTCCTTTGCTCTCCATATAATTTAACTGCAACTTCGTGTAACTTTAAACGGTTGATTCACACAATTCTTGAAGTTTTACCAATTATCAGTACTTTGAAGTTGGTGTGAGCTGCCTTTATGACATCTCCATTTGTGTACATGCATATACATATATTTACATATGCGTACATGTAGATCCACATTCACACGTATGTCCATAAGCATACATAATCTTATCAACCTAAAAAGACACTGGTGGTACTTAGTGTTGAAAGTATACCATAATAGCTGTTACACTAAGGGTTCAGTTTTTCCTCACATCCCTACTGGGTTCTAATACACAGATCAAGCACTTCCTAAAGTACATAAATATTACATTAGCATACTCACACAAGGTCTATAAACATAAGATGTTCTTTACATACATGTTTAATGCTATTTTCACTCACTTTTAAGTTTCATACTCTCCTAGGAATACAAGTAAAATTAATATTATCCATTATATTTAAAATACAATTTTGAAACACATTTGGAAGACATATAATTTAAACTTTATAGATTTTTTAACCATATGTTTATATAAATGATTTCCCTTTAAAACAATCTTCTAATGAAAGTTTGTATTTTCTTGAAAGCTTTCATGTATTTCAACATAATGGCATTTTCTAGGACTCTGGTATTCTTTGGCAGGCTCTAAGCTCACTTTTCAAACCGTACAACCGACCTGACAGGCATAAGGAAGGTGGCCATCTAGGAGGCTTCCAGAGCCTTCACCCTGGAGTGAATTCTCTGATGCTTGGTGAGCACCGACCTCTGACCGAAGGTCTTCCCACACACGTTACACTCGTAGGGCTTCTCCCCCGTGTGAGTTCTCTGGTGTTTAGTGAGAGCTGACTTTTCACAGAACATCTTCCCACACTCGTTACACTTGTAGGGCTTCTCCCCGGTGTGAGTTCTTTGATGTACAATCAGGTTTGACTTCACACAAAAGGACTTCCCGCATTCATTGCATATAAACGGTTTCTCTCCTGTATGTGTTCTCTGATGGACGGTGAGGGCGGACCTGTGGCAGAAGGTTTTCCTACATGCATTACATTCATAGGGCTTCTCCCCTGTATGTGTTCTTTGATGTTCGGTGAGGTTTGATTTGACACAGAAGGTCTTCCCACATTGCTTGCATTCGTAGGGTTTCTCTCCCGTGTGCGTTCGCTGGTGGTTGGTAAGGTGTGGTTTTTGGCAAAAGGCTTTCCCACATTCGGTACATTCATAGGGTTTCTCTCCGGTGTGCGTTCTCTGGTGCTGGGTGAGGTTTGATTTCTCCCAGAACATTTTACCACACTCACCACATTCAAAGGTTTTTCCTCCCAAGTGAGCTCTTCGAGACTGGGTGGGATGTGATTTCTTGCTGAAAAGTTTCCCGTTTTCATGGTACTGATAGGGTTTCGCCCCCATCTGGACTAGCTGGTGTTTAAAGAGAGCTGACTTTGCCCATGCGTTGTTACTCACCTTATACTCCTGGGCACTCTGTCTCGAGTAAGCTTCCTGGTGAACAATGAAAGCTGGGCCATCGCAGAAGATTTTGTCATAGGTGTTCCGCTCACAAGGACTGCTCCTGGGAAGAGCTCCCTCATGTCCAAACTGAAAATCTACATGAAGGGACTTTCTACAAATGCTGCATTCGTGCGGCTCCATGCGCAGGTGAGTTTTCTGCGGCACACTGAGCTTCAAACTGTCGACGAACGTTCTTCCGCACTCGGTGTGTTTACAGAGCGTCTGCCCTGAGTGAGAGAGCTGACTCGGGCACAGGGCCACTTCCTCACGGAAGCCTTGTTCGTTTTCATGATACTCAAAAGGCTGACCAGAAACTGGCCGTGTGAGACCCTGGCAAAGGCTGAGGCTACCCCTTTTCTCATTGTATTTATATGATTTTGCTCCTACGGGAATTTTCTCATGCCCAATTTTAAGGAGTGGTTTCTCACCTATATTAAACTCATCAAGTTTCCTTCTGGAATAGTTCTTTTTACTAATAATGACACCTGAAATATTCTTTAAATTCATTTCACATGAGTCACATATTTTGAGCAGAAAACTTGTTGAAGAAACAGGGTCCATTTCTAGAGCGGAGGTTTTTCTTGGGTTACCGCCACTGTCTACATGCACGAGCTTGCTGGTGAGCATGAGCGGCCACAAATGGTCACCTTGATCTTCCTGGTTGCTCTCCAATAGGCCATCCACTTTCCATTTCCTTTCTATGAATGAGAAAAAAAAATCACCAAACCTTGTATAATACTTTTGAAAAAATACTAGGGTTGAGGAAACACACAGAAACAAAGACACAAGCAGAGAAGGGACTTGGGAAGCTGAAGTACCTCAACACATTTCTGAGAATGTGGACTTTTACTGAAATCCTCTACTCTATTCTTTTGTTTTAGATTCAGTGTTCGGGTACAAACTGAATCCAGCACATTTTCTTTAACATCCTGGTTTGTGGAAGCAGGAATGGGGAACTGGGTGTAACATTTAAAACATAAATATAAACTTCAAAACCAGACACAAAAGGACTGGAGCGAAATGCAACTCACGGGAAACTAGCGTGACTGATTTAGCAGTCATCATATTAAAAAGGATAAGGTGAGCCCAACAAACAGAGAAAACTAGCAAAGCGGCAGCAGAGATCAGTACACAGGGTTAGAGGATGATCTGCCCTGGGTGGGAACAAGACAGTGAGCCTGACGCCCCACACACAGCACCGGAGGAAGGCCCCATCAGAAGCCATGTTCTTCTACTCTATACATGGTAAACAAATTAGGGTGTTCTGGAAACGCCCACTTCTTCAGGCCCAAAGGACAGTCTAAAATCCAGGATCTAGAGGTTCTTTCCTTTACCCTTATTTACAGGAAGAGTTTTCTGAAATGCTGAGAAAGCTCGCTAGAAAAGGCGAGACAAACTCCAGACATGCTGCAGTACTAGCAGGGGAAGCTACCTGAGTTGTCATCCAAAGAACAGAAAATTCACGAAGGAACAGTTGAGTAGTTTTAAATACACAGAGTATCTGAGAAATGTAACAAATGAAGGTGTCTAAAGATGGTTTATACCAAGCTCACCTTATATTCTGCCTCACATGCCATCTTTCCACATCCGGGTTACTCTGAAACCCTCGGGTATGGATTTTTCTATACGGGGTGTTTAAGCCTGCCTTTATTTCTAGGTTTTTCATTTACACACAGGTTTTTTTGCTTTAACATCTAACATCACCTGTGTTTTATTTACATGTGGGACCCCTAACTATCATATTTCTGTATCTGTTACTGAGACATCATAGAAAGGAAATGGAAAGTGGATGGCCTATTGGAGAGCAGCCAGGAAGATCATAAAAATTTTGGCTATCCTTAACTGTTGGTACTCACTGCAAAATGCTAATTATATGCTAAATTTAAAAAATCTATAGCAATCTACTGCTCTAAAGATCAACAATTAAAGTTATGATCCTAGCAAAAACAGTTCAAAATAAAGTAAACCAGCAAATAAAACTTTATATCAGTTGACTCACATCAAGTGTTTAAATCAACATCCAATATATCCATTAAAACTCTGTACATGGAGGGATGAAAAAACCCTCTCTGTAGGGCTCGCTCCGTGTCCAACATGTATCTGTTCATCATGAGCAATGCTCTGCCCTCAACGAGGCACATCTCAGCCTTGGTTCTCTTGAGAACCTACACACTTTTCAATAAAATGCTACCTTAACTGGAAAATGATGAAAAGCAATCAAGAGAATGAAAACCAAACTTCCTAGAACATCCACACCACCTCAGACTCCACTTGTTCTAACCATTACAAGCTAGTGTCCATATGATCCGCTGTAACTAGAATAATTACCTTTGCCTAATGCTGCACCTCTTCCCAGGACCAGAGTCTGGCTCTTAGCCATTACTAGTCTATTTCCTTTGCATCCTCTGAGGAGACCATCATGTAGCGATTCTGGAAAGCCATGACACACGGATTAGCTTCAGTTCTCCCTGATGGGTTGGAACACACAGGAGACTGTGGAACTGCACACTAAGCACGCACAGAAACACGCTGCAGAACGCTTCCTAACTGCACCAAGGGAATGACTCCACTGAGGCCGGGACCACAGTTAACCAACACTGATGGAGGAAGGTAATTGGTTAATTATAATAAACCAACTGCTTGGCCTCATAGCTTAGAACATAGGTGGGTGGAATAAACAGAATAGGATGCTGGGCGGAAGAGGAAGTGAAGTCAGACTCTGCTCTGCTCCCGGAGAGACCGGACAGCTCTGCTCTCTGGAGCAGAGACACCAGGATGGACGGAGGCTAGACTCTTCCCGGTAAGCGCACCTTGGGGTGCTTACACACATCATTAGAAATGGGCTAGTCCAGGTGCGAGAATTAGCCTGTAAGGGCTAGAGTTCATGGGCCAAGCAGTTCTTAAATGAATACAGTTTGTGTGTTGTTATTTCGGGCATGAGCTAGCCAAGTGGCCGGGGTGTTGGGGACGCAGCCCCGCCGCCGCTCCTATTACAACACAACATGACCATCAGAGGACAACTAAGAGATCCTTCCTTTTGGAAGACTAAAATCTTAGTGGGAAAGAAATCCTATGCAACCTGGATGATCAGATCTGAGTTCTGGGCCTATAGCCACTGGTGGGTTGTAGAAATAAAATATGTGCCAATAATAGCAAAAATGCTCTAACTTAATGGATACAGTAAGTACACAAGGTCTAAACACCTCACAGATACAGTGTTACTTATTTGAAAAAAATATTAAAAAGAAATGAAAAGTTAGACAAAGGAGAGACTATAAATATACTTCAAGTACGGAAAGGTGTGCGGGCTAGTTTTATGTCATTGACAGAGCAATAGTCATCTGAGGGGAAGGAAACCCAATTGAGAAATTGCTTCCATAAGGCCCCACTGTACGCAAGCCTGTAGAGCATTTTCTAATTACTGATGAGGGAGGGCCCAGACCATTGTGGGTGGGGCCACCGCTGGGCTGGTGGTCCTGGGTGCTATAAGAAAGCTGGCTGAGCAAGCCAGTACGCAGCGCTCATCCATGGCATCTGCACCAGCCCCTGCCTCCAGGGTCCCACCTGTTTTGAGTTTCTGTCTTGGCTTCCATCAGTGGACGGTGATTCAGGATATATAAGCCAAACAAACCCTTTTCTCCCCAAGTTGCTTTTGGTCACAGTGTTTTATCACAGCTAAATAAAACCTAACTAAGACAGCAATTATGAGGCTTAGTAAAAATTCTAGAGAACAAAAGAAATATAAGAAAGGAAGAATAGAATCATGTAATAGATTTTAATTTATTTTTATGGGCTACTATTAGACTAGCGGAAAAAACATGGATGCTTCATGTGAAAAGGGGGAATAAAAGGGGGAAGAGAACACAACAACAGTCAGGCATGGTAGTGCACGCCTTTAATCCCAACACTGGGGAGGCAGAGGCAGATGGATCTCTGTGAATTCAAGGCCAGTCTGGTCTACAGAGTGAGTTCCAGGGCAGCCAGGGCTACACAGAGAAACCCCGTCTTGTAAAACCAAAAAGAAAGAAGGGGAGGGAGAGAAAAGAAAAGAAAAAGGAAGAAGAGCAGAGCATAGAGAACAAATAAACCACAGCAGGAATTACATCAGGGTAAGGGTGAAGAGAACATAGACATAACTTCTTTTGCATGTGCGCAATGACAAGCAGCCTTATAAACAGGTGCAGGTGGTTTTGAAAGAAAAATAGTAAGAGTAGAGATGAAGCCAGCAAGAGCTGAACAGATGCAGTACAGGGAACCCATGGATGCCATGCAGAAGGTACGAGCTGAGCAGATGCAGTACAAAGAACCTAATGGACGCCACGCAGAGGGTACGAGCTGAGCAGATGCAGTACAGAGAACCTAATGGACGCCACGCAGAGGGTACGAGCTGAGCAAATGCAGTACAAGGAACCCATGTATGCCACGCAGAGGAACTAGTAAGATGGTAAGGTTGGGCTATACTTGATTCCTCAGAAATGGAACTGGATTTTGTATAGCTTAGGTTTTCCTTCACTTCTCCTCTAATGGGTGGATTTAATAACTTTATGAACAAGTTTCATCCCATGACTGTTCTGACAAAACCATGCCCTAGAAAAGGGACTGGAAAACTACGGCTTGAGGCACTTCCTTACAACTGAAAGCATCCTTTATGTTTTTAAAGGGGAAACAGTAGAAGAAGCAATAGGGATGTGGGTGGAGGGAAGAGGGACATGAGGACCAAACAGAAAAAGACAGAAGAGTAGCAGCAGCAACAACGACCAGGAATGTACCGAACATATTTACTGTCTGGTCTTTTAAAAAGAAATCTATCTCAGCTTTAGATTTCATCTAAACCACACATAAAATACCATCTAAAACTGATGCCTTCAAATACATACATCTAGTCCCAGTCTCAGCTAGGCATTCCACTCTTGGATAACTCAAACCTTAAAATAAGCTCACAGGCCAGATTTGAACAGCTACCTCCAACTTTTCCCATTTAAAACTGAATCTATAATAATCCTTCTCCAATCATGTTTGTTCTGTATTTTCTCTATCTCAAGTAACTGGTTCCCTAACTTGTCTAGCTGCTTGAAATAAAAAATTCAAAGTCATGTTTGACTCCCCTTGTACTCTTTATCCAACAGAAATCTCCATGGCTCTATCTTTAAGATATCTGTACAAACCTAGCATTTCTTAGCACCTCTGGGATGGGTCTTGGCCACCACCCTTTCTGCTGGAGTACACAGGAGTTTCCAAGCTGGTGCCCCTTCCTAGCTCATACACACCCACTAAACACACCACCACAGCTACTGCACAAACCAGACAAATCCTTTGAAGCTGAAAATAAGTCTGACGATTTAATCTGATCTACATTAGTTCAAAACGGTGTTTCTTGCATCTTTAAAGGTAAAATACCTGTGTCTTCCATGAACCATGGAATATTATTCACAACAGCCTTCCACCAGTCTTGCCCAATGATCTCTCCACTACTGTTCAATCAGAACAAACCTGTCCTAAAGGCCTGGCACCTCAAGCTCTCTCTGTCTAGAATGCTTTCTGTTCATACAGTTTATTCTTTTTTTTTTTCTTGAGACAGGTTTTTCTGTAGTTTTGGAGCCTGTCCTGGAACTAGCTCTTGTAGACCAGGCTGGTTTCAAACTCACAGAGATCTGCCCACCTCTGCTTCCTGAGTGCTAGGATTAAAGACGTGCACCACCACCTGGCCATACAGTTTATTCTTACTCCCTTAAAGTATTCTATATAACTCAGGCCTCATTCAAGTTTTCTCTGACCTCTCTGCCAAATAGCACGCACCATTATGCTGTCCTCCCCTCCCTGTGTGAGCTCTCTTCATCATACTTACCACCAACTGACACTGTGTGTGTACACACGCATACACACACACACACACACACACACATTGAAGTACATATGAAAATAAATAATTGTATCTACATGATTCTGTTCTTCATTGTAGCATATATTCTATAATACATGGTACATTACTTTCTTGGTGACCTAGAACATGACTGTATCAGTGAATGTTCTCCATTATGCATCTGTTAAGTGGAATATATGGAAGTATATGGAAGTATATGGAAGTATATGGAAGTACATGGCTATATGCTAGCTGACAAATGGTGTCCAAAGAAAATAAAAGCTGCATAATTTGTAAAGACAAAGAGAAATTAACTAAGAAAAATATCTAAGATGAAGCCAACTGACTTTGGATTTATAGGCAGAAATAAATCACTCCAAAATGTCTAAGTAAAAGAAAAGTATTTATGAACAAGAGACAGGTGGAGTAGTCGTTAGGGCAACAGTGGGGAGCTGTTCTTGGTCATTTCCAGAAGTCTGGAATTTCACAGGAATTGTGGTGGTGAATAGAAATGGTCCGCATAGGATCATGAAGTTGAATGCTTGGTCACCAGGGAGTGGCACTATTTGAGAGGGATTAGGAGGTGTGGCCTTGTTGAAGGAAGTGCTTCACTAGGGAGTGGGCTTTGAGGATTCAGAAGCTCAAGCCAGGCTCAATGACTCACTGTGTCTTCCTGCTGCCTGCAGATTCAGATGCAGAACTCTCAGCCACCTCTCCAGCACCATGTCTGCCTGTATGCCACCATGCTTCCCACCATGATGATAATGGACTAAACTTCTGACCTGGGAGCCAGTACCAGTTTTTTCCTTTATAAGAGTTGCCATGGTCATGGTGTTTCTTCACAGCAACAGAAACCCTAAGTCAGTAACCTGCCTTACCCAATGATACAAGATCACTTTCCCTTGCCAATAGCTCACGACTGTACCTGGGTAGCATGGGAATCCATTTTCTGGTATCCATGGCTCTTCTCCTTGTTCTATTTTGAAGATCACATCTGGTTTAGTAACACAATACCCTGTTAAGACAAAATAATACAGGCTGGTGCGCAATAGATTAGCTTTGTGAACGGAAAAAAAATGAAAGAAAAGAAAGGCACAGCTCAGCTATGGTTCAGGAAGGTTCTCAGCATTCTGCAGAGAGATGAGAAGACACCGTTGTCACAGCAAAAAGAGGTCAGTCATCTTAGACCCGTAAGCCTTAAGACTCCTAAGGCTCAAACTGGAAATTACAAACATTCCCTCCCAACCTTGGAGATGTGTTTGACTGGTAGCCACTGAGAAAAAGCCCTAAACCCTTACCTACTGAGACAAAGTTGCTATAGTTCTCCAGGGTCACATCTCTGTAAAGCACTTTCTGAGCAGGGTCCAGCAGATACCACTCCTCCTTGGTGAAATCCACACACACATCCCTGAACGACACTTGCTCCTGCAAGACAATATTCTTTTCTTGTATGAAGTCATCAGGACTGGGCAATATAGAGAAGATTTAGCATAATGAGTTTCTTTAGAGTTTACTGAAAAATAATGAACAGAACACCCCTTCCCTTTATTCCTGCTACACTATGTAGAATAAAGGGAAATATCCTGTACAAATGAGATTCTGCTAAAGGTCTAGGAGTGTTTCATCTGCAACACAAATATGCTGAGGCGAGCAGAAACACAGTTCCTATTTTCAGAGTGCCTGTGTGGCCTGTGTGGCCTGTGTGACCTGTGTGGCTGGTGTGACCTGTGTGGCTGGTGTGACCTGTGTGGCCTGTGTGGCCTGTGTGACCTGTGTGGCTGGTGTGACCTGTGTGGCTGGTGTGACCTGTGTGGCCTGTGTGGCTGGTGTGACCTGTGTGGCTGGTGTGACCTGTATGACCTATGTGGCTGGTGTGACCTGTGTGACCTATGTGGCTGGTGTGACCTGTGTGGCTGGTGTGGCCTGTGTGACCTGGTAAGAATACACACATATACATTTTATCAGGTGGACATTGCAAACCTTGGAGTAGACTTCACTTTTTCTTAGGAAACAAAACTTGAAATTGTTAAATAAATAATGATATTGATAAACAAGGGACAGGCTCCCACTAAAAAAGCCCATGACATCTTTTTTTAGTCCAGTGCTTGCCCTGGAGTCTAACCCCACAGGATAGAGCAAACCTCTCTGCTTGAGGAGACCATTTTCTGGAGTATCATAGATTTTTTTTTTTTTGACGAGCACAGTAGTTTTATTAAACCTAGTAAACAGTTTCACGGTGTGTGAACCAATAGTGAACAAGAAGTAAAAAAAGTAATATAAGCAGACCCATATTGACGGTTATTGAAAGGATTAAATGTGAACTTCAAAATAAATTGTGGCTAATGTGTTCAATAAAGCATGAAATTCAGAAAAAAAATATTGAAAGGATGGAAGAATCCAATGGATAGACGAAGTGGTATGGTGTGTGTGTGTGTGTTGTTGGAAAAGGTCACGACAGCAGACCAAAAGTTTTCTGCTTTCTCTGGTTCTCTTCCCACTCACACATTAGCACACAAAGCACTATATGAGTGCCCTATATTCTCTAAAGCTGGTACGACTGCAAAGAGGATGGGCAACTCTATTTTCACAGGGTAATCACCCTCGAATGGCGACTGCACTGCGAACAATCCCCGGGGGAGGACTAGGACTAGAGCCTGCAGGGGGCAACTTTACTTGGATGACAATGTCCTCTGCTGTAGAGTTTCACGGGGACCCATTTATCAGCTTTTGGTTGACTACACTATCAGGACACTGTTCAGAATGCCCTCACCTATACCTGTTAGTTGAAACCTTTTCCTCGAATAGGTTCTGGGTACCAAGTCTTAAGTTGAGGTCTCGTCTTCATTTTTATTTTGGACTCTTATTAGAAGTCAAAGGGAAGGATGCTGCCTCATTCTCTGACATGTAGCTACTCAGTTAGGCCAGTACTTGTTGAGGATGCTATCTACTCTGATATGTATTTTGGGCCTCTTTATCAGAATTCGCATGGCTATAAGTCTATGGAGTTTTATCTGGGTCCTCAATTTCGTTCCACTGATCAACGTGTCTATTTTAAAGACACCATTATATGACTTTTACTACTACAGCTCTATATTATAACTTAAAACTACAGATGCTACAGATGCCAATTCCCCTTTTGAGTCTGTGTTCATCACATTAACCCTAAAACCCTCTTTGTTGGGTCTTTGCCCTATTTTGGTATTACAGCAATAATGGCTTCACAAAAAGAATTTGGGCAAGACATGCTAGTGTAACCTTTAATCCTAAAACTTGGAAGCAGAGGCAGGTGGGTCTTTTTGAGTTTGAGGTCAGCCTGGTCTACATAGTGAATTTCAAGACATCAAGATTGGCATAGTGAGAACTTATCTCAATAATACTAATGACAATAATTATTATAGTATATTAATTGTATTATATTGCATACAATATAATTAATGTAAATAATACATATCATAATACATAATATTAAAACACAATAATTATTACTATAATTAGAAGGGTTCCATCATTTTTATTTTATGGAATAATTTCACACATGTTAGTGTCAATTATTCTTCAAAAATCTGTCAGAACTCTGCTCTGAACCTATTTGGACCTGTTTTCACTTGGAGATTTTAAATTAAAACTTCTACCTCATTGGTTGTTAGGGTCTAGTATTATTTATCTCAATCTGATTTAACTTTAGTGGATTATACACATTTAGAAATTCATCCACTTCTTTTAAAGTTTACTGGAGTACAAACTTTTAAAGTATATTCTTAATGAATCTCTCAATTTCCTCAGTATCTGTCTTTTTTATTGTTTTTATTGTGCTATACATTTTTTTCTGCTCCCCTCCCTTCCTTCCCTCCCTTTCTACCCTCTCTCATGACCCCCTTGCTCCCAATTTACTCAGGAGATCTTGTCTTTTTCTCTTTCCTATTTAGATCCATGTATGTTTCTTTAGGATCCTTTTTGTTGTCTAGGTTCTCTCAGACTGTGGGTTGTAGGCTGGATTTTTTTTTTTTTTTTTGCTTTATGCCTAAAAGCCGCTTCTGAGTCAGTACATATATCTGTCCATCCTTTTGCCTGCAAATTTCAAGATGTCATTATTTTTTTTTTCGGCTAAGTACTCCATTGTATAAATGTACCACATTTTCTTTACCCATTCTTCGGTTGAGGGGCATCTAGGTTGTTTCCAGGTTCTGGCTATGACAAACAATGCTGCTATGAACATAGTTGAGCACATGTCCTTGTAGTATGAATGAGTTTCCTTTGGATATATACTCAAAAGTGGTATTTTGCTGGGTCTTGAAGTAGGTTGTTTCCTAATTTTCTGAGAAATCACCATAGTGATTTCAAAAGTATCTGTCTTAACATCTTTCTTTCCATCTGTAATTTTATTAATGAGTCTCTTCTTTGGAAGGGGAGTTTAATTTGTTTAATGACTTGTCAATCATCAATTCTTTTTTTTTTTTCATCAATTCTTTTTCAAAGATTCAACTCTTTGTTTGTACTTTTGTTTCTACTTTATTAATTTCAACGCTGGTTATGATTACCTCTTCCCTTCTAGTGTTTTGTGAGGTTGTTTATTCTTATTTTTTCCACTGTTTGTAGGTTCATCATCAAGTTATTAAGACCTCTCAGATTTAATGATGTAGCCACGAAGTGCTATGAACTTAGGATCACCTCCAGTGTGTTCCATAGGTTTTACTATGTTATTTTTATTTGTATTTAATTTTAAGATTTTTGAATTTTCCTTCTTAATATTTTCCTTGACTCTATTATCGTAAAATAGTGTGTGTTGTTTAGTCTGTGGGTTTGTATATTTCCCTTACTTTCTGCCATAGTTAGGGTTACTATTGCTATGATGAAACAACATGACAAAAAGCAAGCTGGCTTACACTTCCATAACATAGTCTATCGCTGAAGGAAGTCACACCAGTCAAACAGGGCTGAAACCTAGAAGCAGGACCTGATGCAGAGGCCATGGAGGATGCTGCTTACTTCATTGCTCTCCAAGGCTTGCTCATCCTGCTTTCCTATAGAACCTAGGATACCAGTCCAGGGAGGGCACCATCCACAATGGCATAGACCCACCCCATCAACTAATTAAGAAAATTGCCTACAGCCAGATCTTGTGGAAGCATTTTCTCAATTGAGGTTCCCGTCTATCAGATGATTCTAGCTTGTGTCAAGTTGACTTAAAACTAGTCAGCCCTGCCGGGCGGTGGTGGCGCACGCCTTTAATCCCAGCACTCGGGAGGCAGAGGCAGGCGGATCTTTGTGAGTTCGAGGCCAGCCTGGTCTACAAGAGCTAGTTCCGGGATGGGAACCAAAGCTACAGAGAAACCCTGTCTCAAAAAACAAAAAACAAACAAACAAACAACAAAAAAAAAAACCCTAGTCAGTCCTTTCTAAAGCTGTTGCTATCTAGCCCATTCCATGTGGTCAGACAGAATACAGATGTCTTTTTCAATTTTCTTGTATTTGGTAAAACCTGCTTTGTGTTTTAATTTGTGGTTGACTTTGGAAAGAATTACATGTGCTGCTGAAAAGAAAGTGTATTTAGTGTTTCGGTGGTGTGTTCTACAGAAGCCTGATAGATCCATTTGATACGTTATTTAACTCTAATGTTTGTTTAGTTTTTGTCCAGCTTACCCATCCATTGGTAATTGGTAATTGGTATTAAAGTCACCCACTATTACTGTATTGGGGTTAATCTGTGGTGTTAGATCTATCTAATAGTATTTCTCTTATGAAACTGGATCCCCTTGGGTTTGGTATATATGTGTTAGGAATTATAAAGTCTTCTTAGTGGATTGTTCCTCTCATGAGTATGGAGCCTCATTAACCCTCCTAACTAGCTTTGGTGTGAAGTCTATGTTGTTGGATATCACAACACCCGTGCTGCCTGCTTCCGGTTCTGTTTACTAGGAACAGCTTTGCCACCCTTTTACCCTAAGGAAGGGTCTGTTGTTGTGTGAGTTGGAGTTAACAAAAAGATGAATACTGTTTTCTAATCCAAACTGCAAGTCTGTGTCTCTTTATTGGAGGACTGAGGCCATTAAGAGTTATTATTGGACAACTGTATGAATGTCTGCCATCTTGTTGGGGGTATTTTTAGGCCTCATTTCTTCTTTGTGATTAACTCTTCTGAAACTGTTCCAGGTGAACTCTTTGGTGTGTTTACCCTTGTCTTCAGACTAAAGTATTCATTCCAGTAGCCTCTGTAGAGTTAGCTCAGCAGACATAAATTCTTTTTTTTATTTTTTTTATTTTAATTTATTTATTTATTATGTATACAGTATTTTGCCTAGGTGTATGCTTGTACACCAAAAGAGGGCACCAGATCTCATTGCAGATGGTTGTGAGCCACCATGTGGTTGCTGGGAATTGAACTCAGGACCTCTGGAAGAGTAGTCAGTGTTCTTAACCTCTGAGCC